CCTAGAAAGTTAAAACGGTATAGTTTGTAGCCTTACGATCTATCGGCGAAATATATCTATTTACATGTCGTAATGCCCACTAGGACCCATTGCCAGATCTCCATCATTCGCGGGCTGATTTTAATAATTCGACCGCCAGAACCGCAAAAATTAGCCTTCTGTTTAAAAAAACACTTCAGAATTTGCGAATTGACACGTTTTCGCCTCCGAAAATGGCTAAGAAACGCTTCGTTGCGTTGCGGCGCGGTTGGCTATTTGTCAAGGATCAAGGGGGTGACGGGGGAACAGAATTTTAGTTTTTAAAGATGTGCGGCTATTTTTCAGGAAAACGATTGTGCTGTAAGTTCGGATTCCACACAAATGCAGAGACATATTGCAAACAAGCAAATGCCGTGCGTTTTCAATACTGAAAAAATTGGCCATGTAAAGAAAAAGTTTAAAATCCCTTGGGGTTTGGAATGAGGGTTTTTTTGGGACGCCCTGTATACCCACGAAATTTAGATTCATCACCGCCAATGGCACGCTACCATCGCACATCTTCGACCACGATCTCGAGAGGAGAGAAGAGAGAAGAGACCCCCGCTTGTTTCGCTTTACCCGATAAAGTGAAAGGTCTGACCCCGAACGAAATCCGGCACACTCATATCTCTTTTGCGTAATATTCCGTTTTATAAAGCAACGATTTTTCGGACCACCGTTGGAAAGCGACAGGCAGGGTTGGACCTATGAATGCCCCGAATTAGCTTGGTTTTGCCGGAATTTAGGAAACTGGAAACCCTGAAGCAAAAATTTTATGCGACGCCGTATTTCCCACCAATTTAAAAAATCTCTTCAGAATATCACCAGCGGCGCAACGATAGCGTTCACACGAAACTGATTGTCATCGTCATCATACATCCGCTCTGGCTCTTTTTTAAGGAATAAAGCATTTTTCGTATAGAGGTACCAGATGATAGCATTGTGTCACCGCCAATATAAACCAACATCTGATGCAAACAGTTTTTGGGTTTCTAGCCCAGCGAAGCCGAAGCGAATCGAATCAGATCTAGCGATTCTGTCTTGCTGGGGTGTAGCTGGTGTCCCGCATCACCCCATTAAGTGTCGTAAAGGCGGGGTTTTTGTCCACTGCTAAATCCCAAAATTGCTCCATTAAGAATTTCACAACACTTTCAACAGCTGGTAGCGATTTTCAGATGCCCGTTATCTTGCTTGTTAATGTTGCTTGCTCGTAGCTATCGTTGATTGATGTATTCGGAAGGCGTTATCAGTATCTTTTTCGGGTACCAAGTCATTGTTTTTGTCCTCTCAAATCGCTGCCTCCTTTCTACCCTAATTTACCTTGTCAATTCAGTATTGATCGGGGCTTCTCCCTAGAAACACACATCAAATGGGCCAATCTATCGGCGTGTACCTGCCATGCAGAAAATCGAGGAGCAGATGGGACGACTCACAGGTATTTCGGATTACAAGGAACTGCTGAGAAATGAGGAGTTGGACTTTGCAATGTAAGGGCCGTCATTGGGTCCAGTTTTTTTTGCGCTGATTCCGGTTCTGCGGTCAGTAGTAGCCCTCACCATATTTTCATCATGATATTTTGTTTTTGGGGTCCAAAACTTTGCCAGAAGAGATGCTTTTGCCTTTTCTCTAATGCCAAAAACTTTTTGGGTGTACCTGTACCGAAAACAACAGCTGCAAAACATTTTTCAGAAAGCAGCTCGAGTTCGAAAACCTCAAAAGTAATTTTGTAAGATAATCATTATCAAACATTCAACATTTTTGTTAAATCGTATTCGCAATAATTTTTGCCCACGCTGCCATGGATTTCATGATTTTCTGAAATATTCTAGCAATGCTCAAACCGCTAATATCTCGATAAAAACCGGGCTAGGGGGGAAAATTGACGGCAGGTTCAGAAACAGCTAAGGCGTGGCGAAAACTGATTTAGATGGACTTTTTGTGATCGCAAAAGCGTCGCAATTTTTCCGTTTATAGGAGGAACAATCGTCCGAATTGATAGCATTACCCATGGTAGTGCATCGACATCTTCACCAATATATCAGCACATTTGATCCGAAGTCACGATTCCGATTCGCTCGCTGTTGCCGCTTTCTATGGAAAATGACGATAGCGGCGACAAATACGCTGAGCCCGTATTCTGTCGTAAATTGCGAGTCTAACCAGGGGATCGATATCTACTATGATGCGTGGCCTGGCGGGCCGAGAGCAATGGTAACAATCGATAGTCCAAGTACCATGGTGTTGCTTCTAAGCGGAAACACAGTACTGAAGGTCGAACTGTCAGGCAACGTTACCTACCGTATCCCCCGTGGTCTGCGAACATTCGACCTATCAATGTCTATGGTCCCGCAAATTGTGGTGCCTGGTTTGTTAGAAATAATGAAGCCAGTCAATCACAAATACCGGCTGCTACGGTTCCCTTCTGACGAGCCCGAGGTGACGCCTGACATGATCCGCTTCTTTCGTGAAAACGTGCGCACGGTGCTTTGTGTCCGTAGTCTTATCGACGTCGATCCCACACTATGGAGAGCGTTCGCAGACCAATGTTTTCCGGTACCCCACAACAGTTCGGTTCTGTACCGATAGAGGAGGTATCAATCAATCGGGGTGAAGGTATCAATCGGTCGGTTTGGCACGTTTTTCTATCCGTAGCTTATGGACATTGGCGTACGTATCAACATTATCTCCGCGTTTTTATGTTTCGACAGTAATCTACGAATGGTTTCGGAATACCGCAAAGGTTGGGCTTCATTAGGGTAATTAGACAATCGCGAAAAAGATGCCGATGCCGGATTTTTTGAGCTCCATGGCTTTTAGGATAAGGTTTCGGAACGTTCCGAACATCGTCTCGGCTATTCACCCAGCATGCTCATTATCTCAAGGGTTTTGCCCTCCTGTTGCAATACCCACGAACAATAAAAAAACATAAGCTATGACAAAAAATCCGCGCTAGATGCCACAGCGACCGATTGATAACTTCATCCGGTAAAAAACACAACATGTTATCGATTGACCTTCTTCGGGAAGTGTTCTGAGAGTGAGGTTCATTGATACCTTCTGCCGGCATGGATACCTTCTCCCGGCAACGATACCCTCTATCGTTACAGAGCCGACAGTTCTAGGCAGCCCGACTTTAGAGTTTTTTTTAAAGGCCTCGTGTGCGATGGTTTTCGCGAAAAAGAAAACGATAACAATTATCTATAAAAACAACGGTTAAAAATTTGCATTTTTTAATTTTGAGAATTTCGGTCCGCGAGAATCATGAATTTTGCTGTAAAAGTTAAACGTTGGTTTTTAAACTTTGAGACATGCTAGAGGAATCGAGACGGGAGTGCCAAATTAGAAAAATTTATATTTCGATATTCTGGAGAGCATTTGTATACTTGTACAGAGGAAACGATGCTATTGTCATGAATCTGATGACCATGCTGCAATAAATCTTTTTACATAAAAATCCGAGAAAATGCACATTAACTTCCAGATTAGAGCGGCAGTCACTGCAAGTTTAAAGTTATGCAAAAGTAATGGCATTTCTAATTTTTTTACTAGAAAGAACATGGTTGGACCTTCTATTTCAGCGATTAATCGATTTTGCTCCTGAAATGCCGTCGAGTCATGTCATGATGATGATTCATATCAGCGGTGCATCGCCATCATCACAGCACCCTCGGAAAAATCCATTTTGCTCCCATTTTTTTTGAACCGCCGAAACATTATTTTCAGCTTTTTTCTATGAAACCAGATGGTTACAGTCGCTTCGCGACTGCAACCATCTGGCCTTCGGGCTACCCTACATGTCCCACTCCACCACATCCTTTCCCACCTCCATCAATACCCCTTCAAAAACTCCCTACATAACTTCCCGATGGCTTCAGATACCCCCCATAGCCGAAATCCCCTTCAAAAACTACCAAAAGACCTCCCCGATGGCTTAAGATACCTCTCCTAGCTGAAATCCCCTTCAAAAACTACCTAAATATCTTCATGATGGCTTCAGATACCCTCCATAGCCGAAACCAGGGCCGTAACAAACCCAAATTTCGGGGGGGGGGGGCGACCCCAAAAATTTTTCACTAATATGACTAAAACGGCAGCGCCGCAGGCAAAATTTTTGAAAACAAAGGGTTTATAACACTAAAACTAGTGTTAAAAATAGACAAAAACAGCGCCGCAGGCAAAAAATTTTTTGGAAAAATTAAATCATAAGGGTCCCCCCTTATGAACTTTTCGGCCTTCGGCCGATTTCGGGGGGGGGCGGCTCGCCCCCCTCGCCCCCTCTTACGGGCCTGGCCGAAACCCCCTTCAAAAACTACCTAAATACCTTCCGGGATACTATAAATAATTTAAATAATTAATTAACATAATTAAAAAGTATTAAAAGTATTAAAGTAACTTAAAAAGTTATTTGGACGCGGGAAAGGGCCTCGGGAAGAGGGGCGAAGGAAAAGGGGGCGTGGCCTCCCGGGGAGAGGGCCCCGACTCGTTTTATTAAGGCGCCACTTTCAAAGTTAATTTTAATAATTTAAACTAAAAGTTTTTCGTAATTTTTTTATCAGTTTGGGGGTTTCTGACCACGCTCTATCCGAATCCGAAGAGAGCTAAGCTCTAGCTCCTTTCCCCTTCGAGTTGAATTCGGCTTCAGACACACGGACGCCTCTACTTTTTTATTATAGTTGATAGATTATCCTATATATCCTCTAACCTTACAAATACACTGCCGAATAATTGTTAATCGTATTTTTAGGTCTGTGCCTCGACCGGGGCAATTTTTCCACTAAAATTTATCGCTTTCTCCAAAGAGGCGATTTGCTTACATCATGTTAATTTGGATAAAATTGTAGCGGGACACGAGGACTAACTGGAAGCTTAAAAATTCATGGTGAGCGCAGGACTTTTTCGCGATCCTCAATTTCAGAAGGAGACAGGAACCAAGTGACGTGCGATAGCAATTAATTCCTAATATATGAAAACGCACTTGACGAATGGCACAGATTACGTAAGATTTGGTCCAATAAAACGTAAAAAATCTGATATATTTAAATCCGGTTGTATTATTTTACGTTTTTATTATTTTAAGAAAAAAATCCACGAAGAGCCAGAACAGCCCGAACCAAACCGAGCTAATCGGCGTCGAAAAAACCATGGTCAAGCGCGTCCCGATTTTTTTTGTTAAAATTACACGTACACGATCAATGGAGTAATCGGGTAAGCTTTATCAGTTAAAGGGTAGGAAAACATGTACGTAAAAAGTATAAAATCTGACAGACAATTTTTACGAATAGTTTAAGGAAAAAAACCGAGAAGAGCCGCAGCAAACCCACAGAGCCGTGCCATAGCTGAATGCCGTCTAAAATGTTTTCAAAGGAGTTCGGACCCTGCAAACTTTATCGTCACCAACATTTTCAGGAAAAGTGCTCTAAGGTGCCCCAAAAGGAGATGAGATTGTATGATTTTCATCGACATACACATGCTTTTCAGCTACCGGTCACTTCTGACAGTCGACTTGTTAAAACAAAATTGTAGGTGAACCTTTTTATTTCCATCGCTTTGCAGTTTTTTTTGATGAAATTCTTGTTACAAAAACCCCGAAGAATAAGTGTTAATGGTATTTTTTTAGATATCCACCTCGATTTGGACGATTTTTTCTAAAAGTAATCCAAATCCCCAAAAATGGTAGTTTATGTTTTCAGTTTATTCCGTGATAGACAAGCGGATACTGGACATAAAGCTTAAGCCGTAATTTGCAGTGAGCCTTAGAAATTAAACTCTGGTGAGTCGTGTCATCTTTCTTTCGGTACCTTCAAATTTCAGAAGACGTCAAAAAATATATCGCGAGCATAGTCTATTTATTAATATTTGGTTAAAGTTACATGTGGAATTACTAAAGGAATCGAGCAGGTTTGATGAATAAAACGTAAAAAATTATATATATCTAAAATCCGGGCAGATAAAATTTTTACGAATCTTCGTACTTTCAGATAAAAAAAAGCCCAAAAGTTATATGAGGTTGTATTGTTTGGATTAAAAATCCGGGTGATTTTCCGCTGTCGGTCAGTGCAAAGTGAATCCCGATACGTCAATCACTTTGCAGTTTCTTTCTTTTGAAATTCCCATTACAAATACAGCGTCGAATAATTTTAACCGAAATTCTCAGGCCACCCGCGATTCTAAAATCGAAAACCACTAGACTGAAAAATTAACTACCATTTAGCACTATCATTTATGATTATCCCGAATTTAGGAGGAGTCCCTATTACACCCGGATGTTACTCCAATTAATTCACGCTTTGTCAACCTTGCCGAGGAATTATTGAAGTAACGGACTGCGGGCGGAGCAAGGTTTGTTCCACAATCAATTTCCTCAACGCTACAATAAACGTAAGAAAATGGCCTGGCATCAACTATAAGAATTCAGTAGTGGTGTCTGTCCGGTTAAATAATTCCAGAACCGGAAGTCAAAATCGCGGGCCCTCGTGGTTGTGTTACGCCAGTAGGAAGTGATGATTTTATGGTTTCCGGCCCTGTCCTAGACCAGACTGATGTCAATACTTCACTTGCAATGAAACGTAAGGCGTGGCGCATAAATACCAGACTTCCTGCTAGAACTCGAGCTCCTTGTGATGCAGAACCGACAGTCCCAAAGCAGAGCCCCCCAGTATTTCACCAAAAAATTGATCTAAAGTTGGATTCCCGCATTAACTAATTATAGTTCAGGAACTTCAAACTTTCAGAACAAAAAAAAAATAGAGAAAAAACGAGAGTTCAAACCGAAGATTTCGAAGTCAATGCAAAATGAATTGAACTAGCTTCTTAACGGGTGAGACTTGCTAATGCACAAAAATTACGCCAAGCCATATTTCAGAACGTACACTGCTGGTCAATATCGCAAACCTAACGGCTTCTACCCGAGGTTTGCCTATAAAAATCTGAGCCCCAAAAAATCTGAGCCCCGAAATTTGGCTATTGGTTTTTAGGCTTCCGGCTCCCATAAAAACCCAAATCTCTGCTGGTATTTTTCAGAAGTCGGATTTTTCGAGACTCCGATTTTCGAAGCGCAGATTATTCGGGGCCCAGATTTTCGGGAAGTTTCAGGAGGACCTTCGGAAAGCCTCTACCCTGAAATCGTTATTAGGAAGCAACGATCTATTGGTTAAAAAAACTAGAGTTCAAACCGAAGATTCGAAATTCAATGCAAAATGAATTGCATAAGCTTCTTCACGGGTGAGGATTTGCTAATGCACAAAAATGAGGCCGAGCCGTACCTCAGCGCGTTTCCTATTCAAAATCGCAAACCTAACGGCCTCTAGCCCGTGGAATCGTTAAGCGGAAGCGACGAGTTGGTGGCTTCCGCGCCCTGGCAAAAGACGCTGTTGAGGCCAATATTTCACTTCCAATAAAACGTAAGCTGTGGCTAGAAATACCAGATTTATTTTCTCGAATTCTCGCTCCTTATCCCTGCACAATCATCAAAGTGGTCGCGGAAACGGCCAAGTTTTTATAGAAGGTATGATTATCTATCTCTTGGCTTTCAAAAACATTTGCAGATAAATTTCAAGATTATGGGAAAGATAATACGTGAAGCTTTGTTGTCTCTGACAATCAGTTTGGTTTTCTCCCCTAATGGCCGGACGACTTGACAATGGCGACTGCAGATTTAAAACCACCTATTGGCCCCAGAAACCGTATTGTTCACCGATGTAGTTCCCGTCGACTTTGCCAAAGCCTTTGATACAGTACCGCACCCTAAACGTTTACGTAAACCAAAAAAATTCAAACTGACCCAAAGTTTAGTAAGAATTTTTCACGAAAATGGGGCTGGATGATTGCCGGAAGCCAAGGAAAACGTGCACATGGTCTCTATCCTACTGCTAATAAAGGTTTTGGAATTTTCTATTTATTTTGGGGATAAGAAATTAATTGTTCCTTTGAATCCTGAATCCTTTGAAACGGTGCTTTCCAGAAGCCGACTGGCACCACGGGTCGCCGATCCCGCAGATGGTTGCATCTGGTAAGGGGAGAGAGAATTCGCTACTGGTAATCCGGTCTCTATCCTACCGCTACTGGTAATCCGGCCTACCAAATTTTAGAAGTAACGTTTTTAGAAGTAATGATTTTTAAAAGTAATGACTTTTGGAAGTAATGACTTTTAGAAGTAATAACTTTTAGAAGTCATGACTTTTGGAAGCAATGATTTTAGAAGTAATCGTTTTAGAAGTAATGATCGTACCCCTGTCTATCCTACCGCTAATACATAGTATCTTTTTCGCTGGGCCTCTATTTAATGATTTTAGTGACCATTCTGAAGAGCTATATGGGCTTCAAAAAGGAAAAAAAGTGGTTGAAACCACTTTGCTGCTGATCAAAAAAGAAATGCTAATTCGTTGAAAACTCTGGAAAATAATTCCCGCATGAACTGAACGACATCGGATAAGTTTCAGATAAGTTGACGGACGAACACGAGAACGTAGGTTATTTTGAAGTCAGTCTATTGCAAGCAATTCAGCCAAATGATGGAGCACTTGGTCCACTTCCGGTGCAGCGGAAATCTAGTCAAGGGTAGATTTGTTCGCCGGTTGGTGGGTCAAAAATTCGAAGTGTTCCTACGTTTCAGCACGAGTTTTCTCCAAAACGCATCTTTTACGCCAATAACCGTCAGCTCACCAACTTGGATGCCAGAATAATGCAGTATGTTTTATTAGGCCTTGCAGAGATTTTAGAGTCCAATGAAGGCAATACTTCTCTTCGAAAAGAAAAATTTTGATGATCTGCTTTCTTTAGCCACCACTCCAACGGTAAGTTTTTCAAGTAACATTTTTTGGGCAAGAGTTCACTTTACCCACCCCCCCCCCCTACCCGGAAGGTTACAAAAATTTTTTAAGGCCACCAATTGGTGGACCTAACTCAAGTCCCAGTTACTATCCCCCCGGGCCAGGAATTGCGAAAAAATAAATAGTAAAGTTTATACAGTTAAAATAGTGTCTGAGCGGTTATTCGAATTTTGCTTGTTTTTGCCATAACTATTTTATTTTACATTATTTTCCATTGTAATTAAAACTCTTAATATATTTTTTGATGCTCAATCGAATTGCGAATATCGAAAACTAGCTTTTTAACCCCATTTTTTTAGAGGTTATTTTTGTTTTTGCTGTAACTATTTTATATGACATTATTTTTGGTTGAAATTCAACCTTTAGTATATCTTTTTGATGCTCTATCGGATGGTGTCAAAAAATTCCGAAAAAAACGAGAATATCGAAACTTTGGGACGCTCGGGGTGGGGGGGGAGGGGGTAAAGTAAACCGTAGCCATTTTTTGCAATGCTTCTAGTTTGGTGGCTCGTGTTTGTTTTGTCACTAAAGAGCGATGACTTTAAACAACTTTGTCAATTCAACGACAAGCCGCAAGAAGCCCGAATACCCTGCCCGAATTGATCTGCCGGGGCATGAGCTCTGCTCACTTCCCAACTAATAAGACATCAGTACAATTGCCGAAATTTTATCTACAGGCGAAAAGAACGCGTAAGTTGTTCTGTGCTTTGACTTTCAAAAAATTTCAGGAAAATGAGAACGTTACCTCGTTCCATACCATAATAATAGAATACCTCAATATGAGTACCTACGAACTTTTCGGCGATTTGGGCGATGTTTTTGCCATACAAAAAAAAAGTATGATTTTCCGGATTTGCCTTTTCAAAAAATCTAAGGAGAGTATTAAAATTATTTGGACTTCCGCCGTATTAAAAGGAACCCTGAATTCGAAAATGATGACAACCCCATCTTTCCAACCATGATTTTTTTATCGACACGGGCTGAGAAGTTGTTCAAATAGCGTAGAGCTTGTTTAATAAGGACCTTGGGAAATTTTAGTGCCATTTAGTGAACAGTTTTGTCCTTACCAAAAATAGTAGTGCGTGCTTTGACGTGGATTTTTTTAGTGTTAGGCTACAAACCGTACTTTTTTTTAGGGTGCGCATTGACACGGTGTACACAATGCAGGGAGTTGATGTTATACTGTTGGCCGAAGGTAAGTTCGTGCTCCGTTTGAAAGTTTTCTCAGTCCAAAAGCTTATTCTTGACTTTTTAGCCCAAAATCGATTTAGAAAGCCGGGGATGAATGCCGGGCACGCCTTAACAGAACCACCCGATTTTGAAGAATGGGTTCTTGTTTGGAAGAATTTTCGAAAAATCGAATTCTGCAATGAGCGAAAAACAGGCGTAGGTTCGTTGAATTTATCCATTTTACGCTCACAATAGGACCTTTTTGAGTTACTTTTCGGAATGGGACCGAGTCGACCTTATGTAGAACTTTTTGCTGATCAAAACAGTTTTCACAAGCCACGAAACAACCACATTTTAAAAGTTCTAACGCTTATTAGTGAAAAATGCCAAAAAGTGCCCACTTTGACCGTGTTTAGCCGATTCTAAACACTGGTCTTAATCATCGAAAACTGTGCACACAATAATCATGGTTACCTTTTGAACCCGATGGGCACTAAAAAACGTCCGTTGTCAGTTTAGCGCGCCCTAAAAATACTCTAGCTTCATTTTAGCATTCAAAAAAATAGCGATTATCATTTAACTTTGCACGATTAGTGATTCCGATGATTACCACTAAAGCGCATATCGGACACACCTAGCTCGATTTATGTTACTCCTGATGTGGACGAACGAAACAAGGCAATTGACGCTATGGCTCAGAATTTCATATTTCAGATACCCAAAGGTGTAGTATGTTGTCTAGAGAATAAAAGTTAGTTTGTAGCCTTGCAAAATCTAGCTTGGCGAAATCTATCTATTTACATGTCGTAATGCCCTCCATCGCAGCCAATTCACCGATCTCGATGATTCCATGACTAATTTTAACAATTAAAACCGGTAGATCCTGTGCTAAAATTAGGCTTCTGATTAAAAAACGGCTTCAGGATTTACGCAATGAGACTTTTTGACGTCCAAACAAGAGCTAAAAACGCCACGCGCAAGCGCGTTGCCTGCGGTTGACTATTTGCAAGGTTGAGAGGGCACAGAATTTTAATTTTTTTTAGAAAATCATGCTATTTTAGGCAAAAGTTGGTGCTGCGAATACGGATTCGATATGTCTGTGCACTGCTCGGATACGGAAATTATCGTGCGTTTTTGAATGCCACCCACGTTAATGATTTTGTGAAAAATTTCAAACACTACTAAAAATTGGAAAAAATAGTCTTGCAGTTAGCTCCTCAGGCGACCGCAAACTACTCAAAAAGTCATCAGCAGTAACTACGATTGAAAGTTGGCCTGCAGAACAAATAACTCCAAAGCCCACGTGACAGGATTCAACAAAATGGGACTGCCGAGATCAGAATAAAGAAAGGTAATATTCCAAAGAGCATCGCCCAGTGAAGACCTTTAAAGGCCATCATCGTAATTCGGCGCCCACGTACTGCGTGTCTGAAACTCCTTAAAGGGATAACGACCAGAGTGCGGCTTATTCAAACCAAAACAGGGTTTGAATAAGGATTCCCAACTCAAACCAAACCAAACCGGTTTGAATAATTTGAACAAGGTTTGAATAAGAACCAGTCTCCTAAACATTCTTTCTTCTAATAAACAACTTTCTGCACTTTTTTCCGTTATGGCTCCAATCTATTGGTGATTCACTTTAGGGCCGTTCGGTGGAATTCCTGATAGGTTTTTGGGTTATCTATTTACATGTCGCAATGCCTTCTATCGCAACCACGTTTTCACCTACGAAAGGGTAAAAAAAGTTTCGTGCGGTCGCGTTGCGGCCATAGCTAGCCATTTGCCTGGAATCAACGGGGGGGTGGCGCTAAAAACTGTAAATACCTTTAGGAAATTGAGCTATTTTTTTCAGGGAAAACGTGGACCCATCAGCTCAGATTCCATACGACTGCGCACGCTGACCGGGCTAAAAAATATCGTACGTTTTTGAACGCGGAAAACATCAATGATTTTGTGAAAATTTGGAAAAATTTGGTTTTGCATTTAGCTCCTCACGCGACCGCAAACGTCACAAAAAAATCAGCAGAGTTAATTACGATTGAAAGTTGTCTACAAGAACAAATAACTCCAAGGCACACGTCACGGGACTGAACAAAATATGACTCTCGAGTCGAGATCGGAGCAATGAAAGGTAAGATTTCAAGGAGCATCGCCCAGTGGAGATCTTTGAAGGGCAAGGTCCTTCCGACATGGGATACGCTGGGCGCCTATTGGCATTTGTGTCTGTCTCTCGTTGCCTTGCCTTTCGGCCTACGCGTAATTAGACGCCCGCGTACTACGTGTCTGAAACTCGTTAAAGGGATCGGGAAGACCCAGCAGATCAGGGCTCATCTATAATTGGCAATGAGTCAACCGGAAATATTATGCAAAAAATGGGTATAGAGCGGGGCAAGGCAGGGAGCAGAGAAGATTTATGCTACTTTTAGAACTAAACCCCGGTTTATGCTAATTTGCCCTGTGCCTTCCTGATCCCTTTTAAAAATAAATCATCCTACTATATATCCTACTATATATAAAAAAATAGTGTCTGTGTGTTTGTGTGCCACTTTGCATCCACTTCCGTCTGTCTGTCCGGAGGATATCTCAAGAAGGGACGGGTATTAGGCTACGTATGATACGTCATTGGGTGCGTAATGGCCCTGAGATGACTGCACACATATCAGATTTTCAAAAATTAGCCATTTTCGCTATTAAATTTAGGGTTTTGTAAAAACCTCTTTGTTAGGGATAATTAGCATAGAGCGGAAGTAGGTGGTCGCCTATACAGGGTGTCCCAAAACCCCCCCTCTAGCGGTCCGTGGGAAGCTCAGATCAGGATGATTTTTATACCATTCGAAAGCCCACGAAAGGCGAGGAAAACAAGCGGGCTTCATTTTCTAAGATTTATTCTGATTCGTCCGATATTCAGCGTTTTTCTAAAAAACAGGTATCTTTTCAATAGGAATTTCGCAATTAGCATGCGGATCTCGCGTAAATCAGCTGTTTTCATGGATTTTGGAGGTAAAATTCGCCAATAAAAATACATAAAAAATAAAATGAACCCTCCATGTTTTCTCGCCTTTTCGAGAGCTTTCGATAGAAACCTAAACGGCGAGAATCGGAAGTTTTGTCGGGCCGCTACTAGAGGGGTTTTGGGACACCCTGTATAAACAGGCGGAAACGGTTGTTTTCATCTTTTTTTTGTCTTCTGAAGGGAGGATAATTATGCAAAAGGGCAGAATAGTATGGGGTCCGAGACGGAGCCAGGGTTGAAAAGTCGCGAAGCGGC